GCCATAACAACACTTTTTAAACATTTACATTTACTAAATGCTATTAAAACTATAAAAAAATAAATACGTTTGAATATATGACATTGTCTATAATGTTACTTTTTAGTACATTCGCCCTTTTGAATTTGATGTTAATAAAGTCGGTGTTTTTGACAATAGATTTCTAAAAATTTGCGATGCTGTGTACCATTTTCGATTATAATTTTTTTGGTTGTTATGCCCTTTTATATTTCAGGTGACTATATACAGTACAGAAATAACATTGTATACATACGTTATAATATTGTTTTTCCAATGAGCAATCGATTAGTTGACTACTCAAATAACTACTATATAAGGTTTGGAAAATTTTCCATGTCTCCCTCTTTGTATCTTAAAGTTATTGTTTACAAAAGAGATTTAAGGTAATTGAACTAATTATTAAATAATGGCAAACCATAAAATAATAATATAATAACTAAATACTGATTTTCTTATTAAAAAATACGCCTAAATTTGTCTCACTCTAATAGTTATCTTCTATGTATCTTTTTCTGATTTCATGTCAAAAGTTAAAGGTGAAAAAAACTGACACTAAACTACTCCTGTTACAGATTCTTAGAAGTATACTTCTATATATACTCTATAGAGACTGTTAATACTTTTTAGATACAAGATTTTAACCCAAATACCAAGATTTATTTGTCATTTTATCTGAACTATATTTTGAGTCATACCAATTGTTTTCATTAATTTTATTTATAAATTTATGTCAGTTTCACTCGTATCTTGTATATTTTTTGTTTTCTTTTATAATCGACTTTGGACCAGCACTACTAATTTCATATTCAAGCTTCAATTGATTTTTCAATATCTAATTTGGCATTTAAATTAGCTAGTTTGACTGGAATACGACAGTATCTGGTATGAACATATGTTCATACAGTCAATTTTAAATTGTTTATACGAATATTCGAAATGTCATAGATCTTAATTAATAATAGTTGTATTTTGTAATACCCTTTGTGCTACATGAATAGGGAATATAAACTCTATTGAAATGCTAGTGACTTTTTGACAAAAGTCACAAGTTTTGTACTCAAGTTCTAGGATTTCAGAAAAGTTATCAAATAAAAAAAAACTTTGAAAATGCTTTAGTTTAGGTTTCTCTGGAGATTTTAAACCTTCATAAAACTTTTTATGTTTCATTCGTAGGGTATTTAATAATTGTTATATGCGATTACATATATTTTTAACATATTGTTGTCTGACTATAACTTGTTTGTATTTTGTAATTAAATTAATTAAACAATTCAATTATTTCAAGCGCAAAATCACATTTTATTTTGATTTAATTACCAAATTTGTTTTGCATTTAAATAGATTACTAAATTTGGTAATTTAGGTAATGCAATTAATAATTTCTTTCTTGTCTGTATTTTAACGCCTCTGTCATTAAAAAATAAAATAATATTAATAAATCTAAATAAAATAAATTTAATTTAATATTATATAGCTACCATCGAATCATATGCGGTAAATAAAGAGTATTTCAGAAGGTTCCCCTATTCTTTTGTTATTGTCAAACAATTTACTGATTTATTAGATTTATGATGGATTTTATTATCATATATCGATTCTAATATGAACATCAGGTTGTTTTTTGGAATATGACCTTTAATAGGGGATTAAGCCAATTATGGACTGAGCTCGAATTTAAAAAAATTTAAACAAATCTGTTTTTATCGAATTTGTATAACTATAAAACGATTTTTTTTGTAAGGGGGAATATATAGAAAGTACTGTCAATTATGGACTTATCTTCATGAAATGCTGTAGGTGATTTTAATTCCTACAAAGCTTGTCTATGTCGAATTTCATATCTTAATCGTATTTTTAAGCCAGCGATGAGCGGTAAAGTTTTTTCTGAAAAGGACCTTATATGGATGGTAGGGTCGAAAGTCGAAACCCTAAGACCAAGTTAGACGTTTCTGAAGGATTGAATACTAATATGATCTCAGATTTTCTCCATCACATCTTTGATTTGAGATATCGTGTCCTGAAGTTTGATAAAACGCCTTAATTCTTTAGAAAAGTAGACTTCACTGTGTTCAAAATTTGTCAGCCTGTGTTATAAACATATGTACATGTGTACAGATTTAAATACCGCAGTGAAATTGTGTTTAAAATTTGACTGACTTTGGAAGTCAGTCAGCCTGCATCAATGGAAAATATCTATGCAAAATTTCTGCTCCCTAGCTCTTCCTGAGTCCGACTCTCTCGTGTTTGGTCTACGACCAATATTTCGGTATGTTACAAACGGAATGACAAAATTAATATACCTCCTTTTTTATGGTGGGTATATGAATGCAAAACTGTCTAAAAAATGAGAATTGATATAATTTTATTTAGCTTGGAACCAATTTCTTACCATTTCCAATTTCTAACTTCAACATTTTGAAAGTAACTTCATAACTTTTATGGCATACGCACAATTGGGACGAACGACGAATTTCGTATAGCACGACGAACTAGTCTACAACAATTCGTTGCGTAAATTCGTCGAATGGAACACAATCAAATTATTCGTACTGCGAATTCGTTTCAAAATTTGTTTGTTCGAAATTGGAAAAAGTAAGAAAAAGGAACAAAAATTCTATTTTTGTGAATCTCCACGATTTTGAGATAATTTTAACAGCTTTAAAATTTATTCGAACATTATTTCGAAATTAGAAATTGGCCTCGAAAAGAACTAAAATTATATTTTTGTGAATATCCCCAATTTTGAGATTATTTTAACAGCTTCAAAATTTTTTCGAACATTACTTCGAATTTTGGAACTTAATTTTAAATATTCCAACATAGCATTGTAGTGTCATCAAGTGTACTCCAGACTGCTAAATTTCAGACAATTCAGCCCACGAGAACTGGTTTTAATAGCTTTAAAAATTTTTCGAACTTAAGTTCGAATTTTCGAAAATTTTATTTTTAGTTTTTATGACCCAGAGATTATTTTAAGAGAAAAAAAATTTTCGAACATAACTTCGAATTTTCGATTATAATTTCGAATATTCGAATATAATATAGTATTGTCATTAGCTGTACTCACAACCGCCAAATTTCAGCAAATTCGGGCTACCGGAATTGCTCTTAAAACGATTTTCCCCAATTAATTCGTCGTTCGTCTGCGTAAGGATAATTGACAAAATTCGTTCGTTTTAGTCAATTGTTATATACACATATAACTATTTCCTATTTCATAGAAATTTGAATAAATTTCCCATGAATTTCCAACAACTTGTAAAGTATGCACCATTAAACTATTTTAAGCATTATCACTAAATCCCCAACTATTAATTGGTTAACTTAATACTTACTAAAAATGAATAAAACTTTTTTTCATAGTATTGAATATTTATTGTCGCAAAAGTTTGTAATGTTCTTAGTGATTTTAACCTTTTTTCTTCATCTGAAACTATATACAATTCTTCGTATTTACATCCGTAATAATAACAATAATACTCTCTCGTATCTAATCTTAAATAAACAGAATAAAATGGCAAGATAATTTACTTTCAGACTATCAATCCTCCAACATCTGCAATTGTTATCTAAGTGTGTGGAGGTATATTCCTTGGAATTGTTTTATTATTTATTTTTGTTTTTTTTTTTTTTAATTTTTTGCTAGTAACTACATGAGCATGAGTATCTAGTCTAGTAATAAAGTATACACTCGAACATTAAATATTGGTTGGTATTATTGTGTCAGTGTCGTCGTCGGTGCTTAACTTGTTCTTTTAGTTTAAAGGTTTTTGTTGTACTTATTTATAATGTGAATGGCAACATTTTTCGATAATCCAATGATGGTTGCGTGACAGAAAATTTGTTAGTTTTTTTTAAAGCGTTATTCACTTTTTATATTATTTGAACTTATAAATATAGCAAAAAATAATTAAATTTAAACATTTCAGCAAAATGTCTAAAATTTTTAAATCTATACTTAGTAATAGAATACTTTTTGTTTAAATTTATTACATAACAATTATCTAATAATGTTTGTTATATATTAAATATTTTCAATTTAGAATAATATAAAATTTAGTTCACGTGCCCAACTCTAACGTTTATTTTAATTTTAGAAGGTTTATTCTATTTCCTTTGTTTTTATTTCGTATTCTATACTAATTTACTTACTCACTGCAATATGTAAATAAAACATTTTTGTTTTAATTTTACGTACAATTGCAGTTTTTTTTATAAATAGATACTTTAGTTGGTCATAGGGAAAAACTGAATTAAAAATAAATTTTTTCAAAGTATTTGTGAATTCTATGTATAAAGTTGTTTTATTGAAAAAATATTAAAAAATTTTAATTGCATTTATTTGTAAAAATTTATTTTCTCAGTTGTTGTTGTTTTCTATTAAATTATTAACTTTAAAATTAATTATTTGATTGCATGTCGTATTTGCAAATTTAACAGTGTTTTTTTTTCTATAATCAGGTACGATCATTAAACACATTTATTCATCACACATTTGTAACGTGTTTGCCACCATATTTTTATGAATGAATAAATTAATAAAATATTAGCCCAATACATATAGCTAATTCAATTGCAACCACATTTTATAAGTGTTGTTATTTTAAAAAATCCAAGTTTTTATAAAATAATTAGATTTTGCTTATTGATTGGCAATTGTTAATAAAGGTTTTCGTAATTTTATACAGAAATAAATTGAGGTTTTTCAGTCATAAGATTTTTTATTAAGAAACAAATGGGTACAGTCATATATTTTTCACCACAAATGCATTTAAATTTATCCGCGATCTGGGATGGAAAATTCAGTACTATTACAAAATGTCAGTAATACATTGAGAACTCTTTCTGTATAATACATTTCTTTAATAGTGCAATTCAATAGACTTTTTTATAGACAAATTTAGTTAATAGTCCACTCAAGAGACTCGTTTATTGTCTTTTGAATAAAAATCACATTTTCTTCTTATCTTTCATTTCAGGTACCGAAGAATGTCCAGTAAGATCTGTTGTCAATCGCGTGGGCTCTCAACTACACAAAGCTCTTTCAGAGAAAGGTATGGCTCTCTTAGTCAATCATGGCATCTGTGATGAAAAGGTAAACTAGATTCTAGAGAAGAAAAAGAAAAAAACATATCTTAAATTATCTTTATTTCCTATTTTATTATAGTTGAAAACAGCTTGGGATCATTTAGATGATTTTGTAGATTTACCCACGGACGTTAAAGAACTTTACATACGTACAGGTGATGATAATCATGGTTACGTTAGTCCTGGTCTAGAACGTTTTGATGGCAAAACACCTGAATTACGTCATGCTTTCAATATCTGCACACTAAATGCTAAAAATCTGCCAGAAGAACCATTGCCCGGTTTTGCAGATCATATATCTGTATTGGCCGAAGATTTCAAAGCACTGTCACGTTTTCTGCTACAAGCTTTAGCCCTATCACTCGATATACCGCAAACATTTTTCCTGGAAAAACACTCACACATGTTGTCCGGTGACAATGATAATGAGACGACATTACGTTTACTCTACTATCCACCGGTCATCGAAGATGACGAAGTTAGTAAAAATGAATTTATAAAAGGTCGTTGTAAATACAGTTACCAGCGTTGTGTATCAGATCAGCCAGATTTTCGTCCGGAATATGATCCTCGCGATGAATATAATGAGCTGGATGGTGAAGACTCAAAGGGCCTTAATGGCAGCTTAAATTGTACAGAACGTAAATTGCCCAATGGTGCGGTGATACGATGTGGCGCCCACACAGATTATGGCACATTCACATTATTGGCACAGGATTCAGAGGGTGGTCTGGAGGTTAAATTACCGGGTAGTGAAAAATGGCAAAGAGTTGGTCATCTACCCGGAGCCATTTTAATAAATTGTGGTGAAATATTATCGATATGGACACAAAATCGTTATCCAGCATTGGTATGTTTAAACATTTTAAATAATGATATTAATAGAAAGACTTATAAAAGTATTTTTATCTAAATTTTAGCAACATCGTGTAGTAATACCCGAACAAGAACACATACGCTCCAGAGGCCGTCATTCTATAGCTTTCTTTTGTCATCCTGGTAAGTTGAATAATTGAGAATTGTATATTTTATTTATGTAACTCATGTTTTTTTACTACTTGCAGATAATTTGACAATGATTTCTCCCAACGACTTACCTCTACCCGCTGATGGTCAAGACCTTACCTGCAAAAAGACCCGCAAAAAGTCATTTAAAGCTGCGAAAGAAAAGTAAGTGGATTTTGAATTTTATTGAGAATTTTTTGAAAATTTAAATTTTATCAATAATTTTCAAAAATACTAATTAATTTTATCTACAATTTTCAACTTTTCTTTATAAATTTAACGAAAATTCTCTAAAAAGAAAGAATTATCGAAAAATGTAAATTATAATTTTAATGGAAAATTTTAGGAAAAAAAGTAAAATGTTTTTAAATTTCCAGCTAAATGTTATATTTAAACTGTTAATTAACAATAATTGTAGATTTTAAAATGATCACTATTCTATTATTTTATTTATGCAATTATTTTTTTTTTTTCATTTTAGAGTTTACAATGCCTACCAACTGATACAAAAACGTTTTCGAGATACTTACCACAATAGTTCACAATAACTCTTACGTACTTTAGATAATAAATAAAACCGGGACTTAATTTTTAATGTCCTATATTAATTTAGGATAAAAACAAAACAAAAGAATGAAAAAAATTATATTTATTCCGTCAACTGAAAGAAATAAATGCAAATAATAATAAAGTGATTATTTTTATAATATACATATAACGTATGTGTCCAATTTTTATTTTCATATTTTTATTTATAAATCTATTCATATAATAAACAATTACATATTATTTATGTAAATCTTTTTAAATATTCATAACCATTTTTAGTTTTAGTTATTATGCAGTATATTTTATTTATAACTTTAAATATGTACTTACTATTTGTATAATACATACTTACATTAATTTTGTATAGATATTTTTTCTTGTTTAACTGTAAACAGTTATTTATCCCTCCAGTCATCTATCAGTGAATTTACATTCTATATATGTATGTATAATTCTATTGCTAAATTCATATTAAAACTCATATAATTTGTAACTTAATAAATAATTAAAAACCAAAAAGTCCTTGATATTATGTGTACAGTTTAAGAAGTTGTTATTTTAATATGAAAGTTTATTTAACAAAACTGCTTCAATCGTTTAAAATTTAGCGGTTTAATATCATATCAACAACAAGTCAAAATGCAACCCTACATTGTATTCCCTGTTGTTGAAATGGGTGGTAACTTTCAAAGTGTTAATATTAATGTTATAGAAATATGGCCACTCTTTAAGTAGTCATTTTGTTTAATAAAAAGTGGATTGTATTAATTTAGTAGTGTGTTAAAAATGTTGGGTAATATAACAGACGTTTTTGAAATGTGCAAAAACTTAAAATGTGTAGTATTTGGAATAATAAATATGCATTATACTTCTGCCAAAAAAAGTTAAAAGATAATATAAAGTTTGCATAGTAAATAAAGAAATAAAATATGGAGCAAAAAATACTAAAGTTTTAGTTTAAAATGCTTTGCAAGAACAAAAATGGCGTCGGTGTCAATCCTGCGAAAGAAAACTTAAATTTATAATATTTATTAAATCTGCGGTATATTTCGATAAAAGTGTATTAAAAAACTATAGTGAAAATATTAACTCATTCTTTGCTACCGCTACATTAATGATACTTGAATACAACAATTTTACATTTACTATTTTGGAATTAAGTTCGTTAATAATTCTAGACTAAACTTATAATTTGAACACAAAATTTTTGTGCCAAAATTGAAAAGTACATAAAACTTTCTGCTGAAATATACAGAATAACTTATGGTCTATTTTATCCTTTTAATGAGATCGTAAGTATACTTATTTCCAATATTCTGCAATTTCAAAAATTTTTGGAGGCAAATTATCACTTTTAGCACTTGATCTAATTGTATCATATTCAGTTTACCATTTATTTTGTTAATTCGCGAAGAAATGAAAATATCCCTTTTTATACCCTTCACCTTCGTGAGAAGGGTATATATAAGTTTGTCATTCCGTTTGTAATTTCTATAATATAATTTTCCGACCCTATAAAGTATATATATTCTGGATCCTTATAGATAGCGGAGTCGATTAAGCCATGTCCGTCTGTCTGTCTGTTGAAATCAGTTTTTAGAGGACCCCAGATATCGGCGAGATCCGAATCTTCAATAATTCTGTTAGACATGCTTTCGAGAAGATCGCTATTTAATATAAGAAAAATCGGTCCATAAATGACGGAGATATAAGCAAAAATCCGAGACAACCTCTGAAAATTTCATTAAAAAAGACAATTTTTTCATGCTTTGATTAATAAGCAACAACACTGCTTATTCATTGAGTATTTCGTTTCACATGTTTGGATGACTGTGTGTTTCATTGGCATGTGTATATTGTTTTTGTTTCTTGGTGTATTCAGTTTTGTATGTTTGGATGGCTGTGTGTTTCATTGCCTTGTGTATATTGTTTTTGTTTGTTGGTGTACAGTTTCGTTTGTTGGTTTTACTGCCTTGTGTATTTTGTTATTTGAGTGTTTATATCGTTTAGCGTTGTTGTTGTTCATTTTGTTTTGCTATTGCTATAATAATGATATAATCGGGAAAATTAAATAGGTACATAAATTTAAATTTTATAAAATTTATATTTTTTAAATACACTATGGTGAAGGGTATATAAGATTCGGCACAGCCGAATATAGCACTCTTACTTGTTATTAAACATTTTGGTTAATACTACTGTTGCTAAATTGTTCCAAATAAAATAACAAATTACGTGGAAACAAAAAATTGACAAAAACCCATTATTTCAAATAAATTTAAAATTTCGATGAAATATTTTTTATCGAATTACTTTTTATAATGGAGGATATAAATATCTGCAAACAGTTGCATAATACATACACAATTCCATATCGAATTCTGTATTTTAAACATATTGAAATTTCGATTAGAAGTAAACTATTTTTAATGAGTTTAATAAATCTATTTTTTATTGCAGTTTGTAAGTGTCCGGGTAAAAATTCTAATCGTAGTGCCAGTGTACGTGACCTGACCATTATGTACGTGTCTTGACTAATTAGGCAGAGCAAATTAATGTTTTAATATGTTTAAGTAAATTTTATTATGTATATACATTCCTATGTAATTGTTTTTAACTAAAACTAGTTATGTATTAATTTCAATAAAGTCCATTCTTAATTGCATGAAATTTATTGAACAAAGATCCTTTTTGATGTATATTAATGAAGGGGTTTGTCTAGGATAAGTGGCTTGTGTATTGAATATATATAGTACAAAATAAATGCGTAAGATGGCGCTCTCAAGGCACAAAATTAGCGCCATCTATTGTTCATGTTTGGGTCACCACAAAATGTAAAAAATCGAGTTTTTCAAGGTGGCAACTCTCATACCAAAAAACCGATCCCACTAAAGAAAACGATCTGGTAACTCTACGATTTTCTCGAAAAAATCACAAAGTTGCCAGATTGTTTTTCATAGTGGGATCGATTTTTTGGTATGAGAGTTGCCACCTTGAAAAACTCGATTTTTCACTTTTACTAACAGAAAAATCTTTGAAAATAGATGGCGCTATTTTTACACCTTAAAAGTGCCATCTGACGGAATTATTTTACACTACATATATCCAATTCACAAGCCACTTATTTGAAACAAAAACCCAGTTACTCTTGCAACTACCCAGCAAAAATTTGCATTACCTAGTAATCTAGAAAGTAATATTGGAATCACGTGGAAACTAATTACTTTTGGGGTGAATAACTAATTATTTTTGTTCGACGAGGTTCAAATAATATGTACCTACCTTAAACAAATTAATAAATGGTTACTAATTTGATTACAAAAACTTTACGAAATAACTAGTTACAAACCTACAAATATGTTATAGGATAGCTAGTTATTTTTGGCCGACTTTGTATGTAGAAAACAAAAAATAAAAAAATTCCTCGGCCGGGATTTGAACCCAGGCATTCAGTTGTTTTCTATGTTTCTCACTCCAGCCGCTTACTCGATGCTCCATTAACATGTTGCTTTTTATAATTTTGAGAACGGCTTTTTACAAAAATATATAAATTAATGTCATTTTGAAAAAAATAAACAGTATCCAGCAGGGCTCGAACCACGAACCCCCTGTTTATTAAATGAACGACCTAGACAATTGAGCCATAACAAATCCAAATTGTTTTGTTCTTTACCAGTAATAACCTATTCAGCTAAATGAAATAATGTGGATGATAATGAACACTCATTACCAAGTAATGTATGAAATAACTACTGGCTATTACCAAAAATTTCAGATTTTTTGCTGGGTAGTACATAAAGAATAATTTAAGCAATTTTTTCCGATAATTTTCTTTATTAAATTTGAAATACTTGTGTACATATAATAACTTTATAATTAAATTCATATTTATTCTTACATATTTTCCTTGTTTGTTTAAAATGATTCATATACATATTAACATCCACTGTTTCCATTGCTCCATTGTATTAAGTTGTTGATCAGATCAGTCCCTATAACTACATATTAAATAAAATGGAATTAGTTTACTGGAAAAAAAATAATATGAATTGGAAAATATTTGTTCTTTTAAATGAAAGTTGCCCTTCTCATTTCCTAGTTGATAACGATAACTCTAGTAATTGGTATCCAAAAAGAGTTTTTTTTAAGCCGGTCTATGAGCCCCGAATCTTACTATGATAAATCATAGAAATCGCTTTTTCTAATCAGAAGCTCTTAAAGTAAAGAGCTGAAATTTGGACAGAAGATTGGTCTCCCAAAAAAAGTCGGGATTTTTGGATATTCGAATGTTTAGGGGGTAAAAAGGGTAAATTCTGTAACTTCATATCTCCTAAACAATAAAAGATACAAGAACACCATAGCTTACAGTAGTTAATTTAAAAAATAAGCGGACAGGTGTCAGGCCCCCTTTAGGGTCTAAACTGGTAAATATGTACAGTATATTGGTACTCCTTCATAACGAAACGAAAAAATTAGTACTTTTTGGATTGTCGGACGTTTTAGAGTAGAAATTTGTACCTATTTTTGGTACTTTTTGCATAAAACATTGTTTCATATGTATTTACTTGTACATATCAATGAATACTTAATGATGGGTTCTCACTTCACTCGATGATTGAGTTTTTTTGGTACTTTTTCGTTCTTTTTCTATAATATTGAACGTAGGAAGATGAAATTAAATAAGAGAGGTATTTTAGTACGTTTTCATGTTTCAATTTGTACATTTTGAGATTTTTAAAATATTGAATATAAAAACATAAAATGGAACATATAGTGTCCTGATTGAACGAAAATTTACTGACTTGTTCGTTCTTTTACAAATACTTTTTGAATTTTCTATATGTAGTATTGAACCTAAAAACATAAAATTGGACATGCATTGTATACAAATCTGTATAAGAGGAATTTGTGGTTGAAAATTTAACATATTTAGGGTCGGTTATCGTTTAACAGGTAAAATATTTTATATGCCGGTTAAAATATTTTTGTATGTAAACTGTCAACTTATCGTTAGGATAAAATATAATCAGACATTGAGAAAATAGAGGTTAATTTAATTAAAATCTATAAAAAAAGAATTGTTACTTTTTCGTTCTTCAACTGCTATTTTTTTGAATTTCCTGCAATATTGAAACTAGAATCATGAAAGGGAACATAGATTTTCAA